CAACATGTGTATTCTAAAACTAAGAATTTTGAGTTCAGTTATGGAAAAATCAGTCTGAAAAACAAAGAGAAATGAAAAACACAGCCCTTCCATTTAGGCCAACTAGTGGATATTCACTGCACGTAATGCAGTCACATTTCTTCCTGGTGGAGCAAAGGGAGTACTAGTTCCTCTGCTAAAAAGTAGGAGTCTTTGGTCATGGCAAAGACAGGTAAGATAAGGAAAGGTGGAGGTCCCAGCCGGAGCACCAACGTCACATCTGCCGCAGCAGAATACTTCCCATAATAGTCTATTTCCAAAGTAGATGAGCTGGTCACTAAATCTGGCTTAGCCAACAGCTAATAGTGTGTGTGACCTTGGCCCAGTCACTTTCCCTCCCAAAATTTTGACTTCTTTGTCTGCAGAATGTAGATAACGTTCTACTAAATAGGATTGTTGGGGGATTCACTGAGGGAATAAAGGGAAAACATGAAGTTTAGTCCCTGATTCATGCTTCGTTTTTAATATGTCATTAGTCATTACTACCCTTTCATCATTCATTATTGTTTTAAGTACCTACTTACTATTTGTGTAATTCCGAGCACGGCTTTGTGAAGACTCAAAGAAATGTAATAGCTTTCTCCTTCATGGAGCTTATAATACATTCATTCACTCAAGAAGCATTTATTGAGTGTCTGTTATGTGCCAAGCACCCTGGTGGGTGTTAGAGTCAGATACATGACTCAGGTAAGCCAAGGCCCCTGCCCTCAAGTGGCTCACATTCTAGTGTAGAAGGGAAGATGTGACAACACATACAGTGTATATGCAACACCTAATAATAAGAGCTACCCCCGAGGTGTGCGGCCTGCCTGTTCACATAGGCCTAGAGAGCTTAGATGAGATTAGCCTGGTGGAGGGGCCTGGCCAGAACCTTCTAGGTGGGTGAACCTGTGTGCACAAAGAACATGGCAGGTAGGAGAAACAGTGGGTTTTCAAAACCTGTGGAGCACAACATTCTTGCACAAGGAGTGGGAGACAGAGCCGAAGAAACCAGTTGAAGATGAAGCCTAAAAAGCCAACCGAAGAAGTGGTCTCTTCCCTGAAGAGGCAAAGGGGAGCCAGGAAGACAGTTAGACTACGTAGGGGGATGTGCTCAACTTTTCTACCTTTTGGAAACGTCCCGCTGCGTTCTGGGGTGGAGTGGAAGCTGGGCTGGATGAGCCCAAGATAAGGTGAAAAGACCAGTTCCGTTTTTGTGCAGATGAGAGAGATGAAGGCTCACAGTAAGACGGTGGCCGAGGCGGTGGGGAACCTCTCTGGTTCCCGCTGCCATTTAGGAGAAAGATCAGGGGCCACAAAATAGACAGAATGGAGATGGGGATGAACAGAATGATTCATGCTACTACTGGGTGTTTGGCAGAGCCTCAAACATGACCAGGAATAAGAGCACTGGGTTTGGCGAGGACTTAGCACACATGTAGGGAGTTAAACAGCATATGAGAAGAGAACAACACTACGTGTAAAACACCACTGGGCTCTAGGTTATTGTGCCAAATTAGACAAAGGAACAAATGCTACCAGTTCAGATTAAGCAAACGGTATTTGAACTCTTTTTCAAGATTCCTCTTTGTATAACTTCCCCCTTGTCTGGGAGCTAACCTCACCGATGACACATTGGAGTCATTTGCTCATTACCCTTAACAACAGCTGAAAATCTCATTCTAGGTCCACGGCAGCAGTTGTTAAGAACCCATGACCTCTTCTTGCCTAGATTTCTTACTTCTCAGCTCTGCTCAATAGCTTGTGTTACTGCCAAAGCCTTCTTTCACTGCATTGAGTGTGGCCATGAAATTTCTGGTGCATTTTAGAGTAGTCCAAGATTTATTTAGAATTCATAACTTCCCAGAAAGTCTTTGGGTCTGAGTTAAAAATATCAGCATGGTAACGTCTGCCCCCAAGAACTTTATGAAACAGGCAGGGAGCCCATTCGGCCATTCAATAGCTAGTTGTTCAGTAGTATCGTGGCACTAAAGGAATCGCTGGAATTGTGCAGTGGAACTACGCACGGTTCCTGCTGTTAAAGTTTTACATCTGATGGAGAAAGTGAATAAATCAAGCCTTAAAGCAATGGGTGACACGTGATATATTAGACATGAGATGCCTTAGGAGCAAGGTATAGGAAGAGCCAACCTATATCTAGGTGTTCAGAGAAGCCTTCTGTACATGACATGTCCATAAATCACAGAATACAATGTCCACTAGGAAGAGTATCCAAAGAAAGGTATATACCAACTGCTCTGGAAAAGGGACAAATTGATTCCAACTGAGTAGATCCAGCAAGAGTTTTGGGTTTAAAAAAAAATTTTTTTTAAACGTTTACTTATTTTTGAGACAGAGGCAGAGCGTGAGTGGGGGAGGGGCAGAGAGAGAAAGAGACACTGAATCTGAAAGAGGCCTCAGGCTCTGAGCTTTCAGCACAGAGCCTGGTGCAGGGCTCGAACCCACTAACCGTGAGATCATGACCTGAGCCTAAGTCAGACGCTTAACCAATTGAGCCACCCAGGCGCCCCAGCAACAGCAAGAGTTTTTGGAAGGGACTACATTTTAGTTGGATCATGGTAGGGTCAAGTGAATTAATTCCTGCAAACAAAGGGGTAAACGTAAGGGCATGTTTGGAGAACGGGGTGGTGTCCTTCACTAAGATCACATTTGGGGTTATAAGACAGAAGGACACAGACATACACTTTTTAAAAAGTTACAGTATAGAAAATACAGTCAATAGTATTGTAATAGCATTGTATGGTGACAAATAGTGACTAGATTTATGGTGGTAATCATTAAGTACTGTACAGAATTGTCAATCACTATTGTACACCTGAAACATACAACATTGTATATCAACTAGACTTCAATCATAAAAATTAAAATTAAAAAAGTTAACAGCAAATCTAGAGTTAGAAAGTACAACATTTGAGGGGTGCCTGGGTGGCTCATTCAGTTAAGCGTCTGACTTCGGCTCAGGGCATGATCTCACGGTCTGTGGGTTCGAGCCCTGTGTCGGGCTCTGTGCTGACTGCCAGCTCAGAGCCTGAAGCCTGCTTCGGATTCTATGTCTCCCTCTGTCTCTGACCCTCCCCTGCTCACGCTGTCTCTCTCTCTCTCTCTCTCAGAAATAAATGAAACATAAAAAAAAAGAAGAAAGTGCAACATTTGAGAAATATCATGAAGTAGTAAGCGATGACAAGCTAAATGAGAGGAAAAGGCTGTAATCACAGGTTTGATGAACAATGAGGTTATCAGTGTGTCTGGATCACAAGGTGCCTGCACAGCCCTGTGGTCACAGGTTCCTTGTGGGCTGGAAAGGTATTCTTGCCAATGGGGGGACGCGGGGTCAACGAAGATGGTTAACTGAGTTCATCTTTCCTCAGCGAGCCAGAAATCGTGAGCGTCTGGAGCTCCTTGCTATTCTGTGTACACTTTAACCAATACTTTACTTCAAGTGTAGGGGCCCCAAAGGGACCTGAGGAAACCGCCCTCCTGTTGCTTGTTCTGGTGCAAGTCAAGAAGCAGAATAACAGACCTCCAAAAGTTGCACAAAGGCTATCTGCCCTTATGTCCAGAGTTCTAAACCTTTTAGGGGATGAGAATGGGGCGCCGGGGAGTATGAAGGCATCCACAGAGAGCTAAGGAGGCTCTTAGGTTTTTCTGGATGTTTTATTCCATTCTCCCTAAGGGAAGGCCACGTAGGACAGAGTATTATTGAACTTGAAGCCTAAATCTCTGCCACTACCTGACACTGATCAGGCATTTAATCTCTTTCAATCTCTCTGCATCCCGTTTCCCCGTTTGTAAAATAAGGAGGTTGTGTGGGTACCATACGAACAGCTAAGTATTTAGGGTTGGCCATATGTCAGGATAGGCGTTTTCCTCTCTTTCTCTTTAATTGAAGTATAACTGACATACAATGTTATATTAGCTTCAGGTGTATTAACACCGATGATGCTATGTTCACCATAACTGTACTTAGCACCTGTCACCATAGAACATTAGTGCAATATCGAGGACATCATGACAATATTTACAAATGACTATAATTATAAGTGATGATACCGTTTATTCCACATCTCTTTTAATCCTCACAACCACGGCGGTAAAGCTTACTAACCCAATTTTACTCAAGACATTCAGTTCAGAGTGCTTAAGTAACACGTCCAAGGTCACACAGCAATAGCCGCAGGGCCAGACCGCATTCAGAAAGGGCCCGACAGGAACACCACGCAGTCCCAAGCCCATAGGCGTTACTCTCCCCCAGGAGCCCAGGGTCCCCTTCCCTCGACCACCGGACACCTCCCCTTCCTCCTCTCTGAACTCCCGGGAAACGCGCCCCTTCCACCACCGGGCATGCTCAGTCGCTCGCGAAGAATCTTCGTTCGGCCTCGGGAAATTTTTCACGCCGCTCGGGCAGCCGAGCCCGCCCCGCCCACGGCTCCGTCTTATTGGATTGGTCAAATTCAGCAAGTCGACGAGGAGGCGCAGATGACCTCCCAACACCCCCCCCACCCTCCCGCCCCAAGCGCTCTGGGCGCGCGCGCTCCGAGCGTGCGTGCGTGCGTGCGTGTGAGTGAGCACGTGAGGCCCCGGAACGTGCACAGAGGGAGGGGGCAGGAAACGGGAGGCGAGGGGCGGGGCTGCCGTTGCCATGGCAGTGACGTCAGGCGTCGGAGAGCGAACCCGCCCCTGCCCCACGCGCGCGCGCGCACACAGAGACAGGCACACGCGCGCGCACCGCCGCTCTCCCTCAGACACACTGGAGGGAAAGGTCAAACTAAAGGCGAGGGAGCGGGGAGGCCGGAGGGAGCCGCCGCCGCCGCCGCGCGCCATGACGGACGCGGCCGAGGCTGCTTTCTCGCCGCCGACACCGCCGAGCCGCGGCTCTCGCCGCGCCCCCTGCCCCCGCCCCCTGGGCCCCCCTCCCCCCGGCTCCCGCGCGTCCCCGCGCCCCCTCCCCACAGCGCTCCGGGCGCGCGTCGGGCCTGGGGCGCGCGCCGGGCGGGCGCGGGCGCGGGCGCGGGCGCGGGAGGGTGGGGGCCGCGGCGGGCGGCCTGCCTCCTCGCGCGACCCCCGGTCCCTCCGCCCGTCCCCTGGGCGACAGCCCGCCAGGTGAGTGCGGCGGCGGGGGGGCAGAGGGCGTCACGAGGGGACCGGGGAGCGCTCAGCCCCCCGCCTGACCCCTTCCGGGGACGCTGACAGGCTCCCGGGACCCGGCCTCTGGGGGGCGTCGCAGGGTCAGCCTGGGGGGGGGGGCTTTTCTGGCGCCCCTGCCCCTCGAGGTCGAGCCCAGGCGTGGTAGGGGGCTCGGCGCAGGGGGAATGCCGCCGCCGGGTCGGAGTTGGCAGGGCGACCCGGGCGTGGGGACAGGCGACGGGAGGCAGGTGGGCCCCTCCCTGGGGTCGGTAAAGTGCGGGGAGGGGGCGAGGGGCCGGGCCAGGTGCGCGCGGGGGCCCGCGGGGCGCTTTCCGGACGCGGTCCTCGGGCAGTTGGGAGAAACTCTGCCCTTGGGACGAGGCGCTGCGCGTTGGCCCGGGCCGGCGAAAGTGGCGGATTTTACAGCGAAACTCGGGGAAGCGGGGCTGGACCGGACGGGAGGGAGAGGGACCCGGAGGACCCGTCTGGTTGGGCACCAGAGACGAACAGATCCGCCCGTGGGTAGCAGCGGGGCATGATGTGCGGACGTTGCCATGCCAATGTTTGCTTGTTTGTTGCTTGTGTTTATTTTAGGACTAAATGATAAAAAAGTTACTTGGGAGACAGGGAACCGCTTGAATGGTCATGAGTTCTTCCCTGGGGTGTGCAGGAAATGGGTAGATCGTTCACATCAGCACCCCCAACGGAATCCGTGCCCAGTGGGCTTTGCCCGTAATAAACACAAAACTCGAGAGCCCCGAAACCCGGCATGTTCGCCAGATGAGTTTCAGGTGTCAGGCTCCGTGTTCCGTGGGAGAAAACGAGCACTCGGTGTGCTCAGGCAGTCGCCTTTTTGTAAGGAGCTCTGGAGCCCATCAGAGTGGAGTTGAGCTCTAACTGCCGGGGTTAAGTAATCACATTGACCCAGAGCCACCCGCCAATCAGGAGCTTCCCTGAGTGTAACTTGGAAGACGGCTACCAGCCCACGACGGTGCCCATTGTCAGTTACCAGTGGTGCGACTGGATTTTTTTCTCTTTCATTTTCCGCTATTACCGTTTGCATTTGCCAAAACGGTACAGTGAGTTACCCAGTTGAAGCCCCCTCCACTAAGTCACTTTTTTAAAAAAAAATATTTTTATTTATTTCTAGGAGAGAGAGACAGCGTGAGCAGGGGAGGGCCAGAGAGAGAGGGAGTCACAGACCGAAACAGGCTCCAGGCTCTGAGCTGGCAGTCAGCACAGAGCCCGACGCGGGGCTCGAACCCACGAACCTCGAGATCATGACCTAAGGGAAAGTCGGACGCTTAACCGACTAAGTCACCCAGGCGCCCCCACTAAGTCACTTTTAAATTCTCAGGCGCCAGCTCTGACATGTCTTCCCCCCCCCCCCCACTCCCCAGCCCGGGAGTTGAAAGTTGTTAGGATATTCCAAATATAACAGCTTCAAGTTGATAGGGATTTTTTTTTAAGTATAAATCCAGCTTAAACAGATTATATATACCAAGCGGGTGATGTGTTTTAAAATTTAAATCTCCTCCAAGGAAACTTGTGGTCTATGAAAGGTGCAGGACTGTGACAGCTGAGGAAGCGCCTGCGGGAGTCTTCTGGGAAGGGTAATAGGACACCAGGACTGCCGGTGAGTGTGAGCCTAACTGGCGGCCCCACGCCGGCTCCCCGCTTGAACATTTCTGACCCGTGGGAACTGCTTCTCTTGATTGTGGATCTTCAGTTATTTGTCATTTTCGGAAAGTTCTGTCAACAGAAAACGGTCCCCTTGAAATTGAGTTGTTGTGGCGTGAACCCAGGCACCCAAGAGTTTCAGTACAGGACGTAAAGGGGGATTATTCAGTTTGGGGTCTTGTTCATTCTTTCTGGGCAGCAGCTTTTGTACCTGGCCTTGGGCTCCGACACCCTTTAAAGGTCTTGTTCCTATTGGCTGTTGCTGACTTATGTCTGTATACAATCCCGCCATGGGCTATTTGAGTGTTACAGCCTAAAACAACATTTCCTGTAGTACAGAAGTAATTTTTTGTTCCATCTTTCTTTGTCTCTTTTTAAAAAGGGAACCGTAGCACTGGGCAGGTCAGCACCTAACTCAGCACATGTCTGCCCCCTGTGTAAGTCTCACTGACCTTGGTAGCGCCGTGGAGGTCATATGTTCATGGAGATAAACTGTGCTTGAACAGCTTCCACCAGATGATAAAGACACATGGGATAGAGATTCGAGACATGCCTGTCTTGATTTTTGTTTTAAACTGCTTTTATTGGGAATTTATTGTGATCATTGCCAAAAATAATTCATTGATTTCTTTTTGGGGAATACATACTTTTCTATTTTACATTTTAAAAAAATCACGTCTTTTTTCAACTTTTGTAGTATTGCTTGTATAGTCTAGAACTTACAGATGGTTTTTGGGGTGACATTTTTAAAGTGCGGGAAACAGGGAGACGGGCAGTAATGCTTGGGTGAATTTGGCCTGGGGAAGCAGCTGTCCTCTAAGAAATTTGATATTTACAAGTACAAAATAACAAAACAAGTAGTAGTTATGTTTTATGATAATTCTATATTTTACAAAAAGGACTCACTAAAAGATACCTTCAAATAATTCCTTACATTTTTTAAAAAATTATTTTTGAGACACACACACACACACACACACACACACGGAGTATAAGCAGGGGAGGGACAGAGAGAGAGAGGGAGACACAGAATCCAAAGCAGACGCCAGGCTCTGAGCTGTCAGCACAGAGCCTGAAGTGGGGCTTGAACTTACGAACCGTTGAGTTCATGACCTGAGCCAGAGTTGGACACTGAACCAACTGAGTCACCCAGGCATCCTCAAATAATCCCTTTTATATGGTAATTACCAAACATGACTTGATTTATAAAAAATCATTTGGCATACAGCAATTTAGGGATAGGATTTGTGTTATATAAGGTTTATCAGTGCTCCTTTAATTGTCCCTTTCTTACAAGTGAAGACAAAGTTAGTATTTATGGGCTTCTTAAATTCAAGTGTATGCTTGCTTCTATGCTACCTATTAATGTTTGAACTGAATGGAACAATTGTCATCTGATTTGTGCTGTGCCATTTAAGGAGCATGTTGAAACCTACTGAAAACGCCAAAATGTTACAGTCCGGTTTGTGTGGAAGTCCATGCAGGGTAGGGTAGTTACTGAGGCATCAAAGGCACCTTGTCACAGGACGCTGTAGCAGGACGCTGGTCCGGTAGTGTGGCCAACAAGTGGTTATACCCAGACTTCAGCAAAATCAAAATAAATAGATTTGGTCTAAAGTCCACATGCAGTGAAAACCGTTACCTTGAATTTTTCTCTAGGTGCAAATTATTCCTCAGAATTAAAGGCTTGATTTTCCTAAGCTATAATTCTGTTTGGGTCACTTGTGAAAAAATTCTATTTTGATAAAAGAACTACGTACTCTGTCAACTTTCCAGGGAGTTTTTGTTTTTGTTTTTTTCTTTTTGTGAATGCAGTTGGATTTTTTTGGAATTGCGGGAGATACCGAATGAAGCACTTGGGGAGTTGTCATTCTGAAATCATTTTGCTTGGGTGATGTAAAAACAGAAAACGGAAAGTGAGTTCATATGAGTAGAACTTGCTTAGGGACTAGCTCAGACTTTGTGGTGGGATATGGGGTAAACGGGGCACAGACTCCATTGAAGATAATTAGTCAAACTTACTTTGCCTCAGGCCTGTCTTCACAAGAGTGACACTCCTCAGCTTTGGAGAAGTATTATTTTTAGAGGAGGACTTTAAAAGATAAGAGCTAAGTGCACGGGTGTAGAAGCGTCCAAAGTATCAAAGTATTTTGAGTTCCTTAATAGTTTTTGTTTTGCTTTTGCGCATCAGCCAGGAAGCAAGAAATTATTTTCATGGTGAATATGGTTTGAGAGCCCAATTTTAGGATAATGGGCAGTTTCGTTCCTCTTAACATAATTGGATATTATAAAAATTGAGAGAACAGCTTGAATGATGCCATTGATTTCTTAGTACAGGCTCTTAGTTCCTTTGTTGAACCCATGAGTAAAAATGAAATTTGAAGATATGATATCAAATGAATTTTTTTCAATTTTTTTAAATTCCAAGGTGTTGTCTCAAAGGATTGCTAATTTTAGAGTATGGTGAAGTTAAAAAAAAAAATTACTTGGATTTATCACTAATGAGGGCATGTAATTAAAAAAGTTTTTTAAACCCATGCAGAAAGTAAGTAGACTGCTGCAAATTTAAAATATTTGTGCCAAGATTTGTGAGAATAGAGATAATGATGAGAATTTTTAATTGGAACTTAAGGGTGATTTATGTTATCAACTTCATTATTTAATTCAATGTCACTTGAAAAATAGCATTTAAATTTTCTGTTCCTAGTTTTCTTCTATGAAGTGCAGTCAGTAGTGCAACATATTTTATGTAAAATTGGGTTTTTAAATATTTGCTAGGCTTCTTAAGCATAAAATATTACCCAATACTAATACTTATATGTAAATCTATTATATGGGACTTTTTTTTTTTTAATATTTTACTTATTTCTAGGAGAGAGAGAGAGACAGCGTGAGCAGGGGAGGGTCAGAGAGAGAGGGAGTCACAGACTCTGAAACAGGCTCCAGGCTCTGGACTGAGCTGTCAGCACAGAGCCCGACGCGGGGCTCGAACCCACGAACCGTCAGATCATGACCTAAGCGAAAGTCGGACGCTTTAACCAACTAAGCCACCCAGGTGCCCCTATATGGGACTTTTAAAAGTTTGGACCTTATAATCTGCAGAAACCTGGACAAAAGTTTTGAAAATAAGAAAGGCCAAGTTCAGAGTTAACAGTCATTAATGATCTTGTAAATTGTATTTTCCTTAAAGGATTTTCTTTCACTGTTGCTTCTTTATACTTTCTAGATGCCGATCATGCTAGTTTTAGTGTTTGATCATGGTATCTATACTGTCAATAGAAAATTCACTTGTGAAAACTACCCTCTTTATCTTCTCCCAGATGTTCTATCTGAGGGATTGTTTAAATTTCACTTATTGAATGTGCTGTAACCAGAAGTTACTACTAAATAGAAAAGTTATTGCAATTTTCACAAACTAGAGGAAAACATAAATTTGCCTTAGGATATTTTATTAGCATTTTTATATTACTGCAGGGACAGTTAAATATAGTATGTATAGTTTCAAACTATTTTTTAACGTTCTAACAACTTTATTTGCTGCAATATTAAACTCAGTAATAGGTGTACAGCCTCATTTAAAAATATCTGTTTGTGGAATGTTTTTCAAAAAAAACTTGCCCTTAAATGGGCAAAAGAAGAAAATTTTACCCTGAAACCTTCTAATTGAATATATAGGTAAATATTTGATATCAGCTATTGTTTTGATGTAATCTTACATATGAGGATTTTTTTGTGTGTTTTTCTAGGGTTACTGTCAAGTACTTTTTACTTTTAAAAAAAGCTTTTCTTTGGGGTGCTTGGGTGGTTCAGTCAGTTAAGCACCTGACTCTTGATTTCAGCTCAGGTCATGATCTCGTGATTCATGGGTAGAGCCCTGGGTCAGGCCCTGTGGTGGCAGTGCAGAATCTGCTTGGGTCTCTCTCTCTCTCTCTGTCTCTCTCTATCCCTCTCCCTCTCTGCCCTTCCCCTGCACGTGCACGCTCTCTCTCTCTCTCATTAATAAATAAACAGTTTAAAAACTTTTCTTTAAAAAAAGACCTTTTAGTCCTCAGATTTTTATTTAGTTTTTAAATTTATTTTATTTTTATAGAGAGATCACAAGTAGGGGAGAGGGGGAGAGAGAGAGAGCCTGACATGGCGCTCAATCTCACTACCATGAGATCAACACCTAAGCAGAAATCAAGAGTCGGTTGCTACCTGAGCTACCCAGGTGCCCCAGGAGGCCTCAGACTTTTATATTTGAAAGAACTGGAAATGAGCAATTTATTAAGCCTTTTCCGTAAAATGCACTAATTTAATTTAGAGCATGTGATGTAATTTATTTTTGCTCTAATCAGAGAGTTGTCTTTATACTAAACAAATTTACAGAGTAATAATTGGCTATTTTGACAAATGTAGGTAATGTAGACTATGCCCAGAAATGATCCTTTGAATGCTAAGTGTTGGACTAAGTTTACAATATCCTATTGAAATGATATTTACCTTATAAAAGACATTTATAGTGTGTCTGCTTAAGGACGCCTTCTTAAGCATGCCTGTAAGTAAATGTGTTATACATGTTGTTCACATGATGTATTGAAGGGTTTAATTTATATCCTATGCTTCTCTCCCCTCTTCCTCCTTTTTATAATTGTCAGTAGTTGGCCTTTAGCCACATACTGTGAGGAAACTTTTAATGCATGATTGAGTGGTAGTTTTTTCCTAGTCCCTTATCTGATGGGGGACAGGGAGATTGTCCTGTAACTCTTCATACATGTTAAATATTGTTGTGAACATTTGGTTTTAATCAATCAGTCTGCTATTTATAAAGGGGGAAACACTGTAAAAATTCTTGAGATGTTGTAAGTCGTTCTGTTCCCCCCTTCCCACCCTGCCTCTAATGCTACTGTGAGGAATGGAGGCAGTGAAGGTAAAGAAGCATTGTAGGGGTTTGATTAGGTGTATAAAGGGAGTATA